TGTTTGTCCCTGATCAAACTGATCACAATGGTGTACCTTGGCAAATCAGGACAGAACGGTCGAGGAATCACGTGCGCAAGTACCTTTTAAGCTCTTATCAGTAAGGGCGCGCGAGCGCTCACTTGGTAATGAATCTAAATCAATTGTATGAGGAAAAAAACACCCACTCAGCGTCTGCCATACAGCGCACTGCCTTATCCTGCGAACTGTTGTTGTTGGCGTCAGGTGATTACCCACCGTGAAGCTCAGGTTCACTGATGTTTTTCCTGCAAGGTCGTAGTACATGCTTGAAACTGTACAGTGTATGGGACGTGACCGGCCCAAGTAAGAGCCCAGCTGTGCCGGGCTGTCGATCGCACACTAATAGAGTCTGCTGCACTAGGATGCGTGCATCGTATTGCTGTTCCAACGTGTAGAAAATCCTAAAGTCAAAACACAGCATAGTTTTGATTTCCATGGACAACCTTCTTCAAGGAGTTCCACAAACAATTGAATACGAGTCGAGGACAGCCTCATTTGGGTCCGCCATCGTATCTTTTGGTTGGTGTTCCTGAGGTCAGTTGTCACTCAGATGCGACCAACATCTGTGGGTGGGTGTGTATTAGCTCTGTGTGCGTGATTTTGTGTACACTTCATAAGGATGTGCCCTTGTTTGGTGTCGTGCTGCTCCACTGTTTAGATCCCAGTTTGACATCTGGCTACTATGCGTACTACGAGGCAGTTGGACGGGATGTTGTTGCCATCACTACGTTTGATCCAGCTCAGCTGTGTGTTGCTCTCCAGGGCTTCGGCGCACGACCCTTCTTCCAGCTCAGCTCTCCAGGGCTTCGGCGCACGACCCTTCTATGTATGACCTAGATCCTGAATAACAGAGTATATGTTCACCACACAAGTTCATTTGATGGCCTGGCTCAACTGTGTAGAGTGTAATGGCTGAGTCGCCTTCTGTTTTTTTCTGAATTCGATTGAGTTCCTTGGGGGAAAACGTGCTCCACGTTTCGCACATAGAGTTTGACCCATGGCTGTCTGACCCGTGTATTTGGCCGAACATTCTTCTGCACAGGGAATTTGGTGGACGCAATCAGTGCGTATGTTTCTAAGGCCATGGGCCTGTCTGTACTTTCTTCCAACTCTTTGTTGGGACGTTCTGCATTCATGAATGTACAACAACGCGAGCACTAGTCTTTACCGCTGGTATGAAGAACACACTAATCTAGAGCATCTTGTTGTCTTTGCGTCCACAGATGGCTTACCATGGATCGGTTATAACTTTGAAACTACAGGCAGTGTGTGTCTAGTGATACACAAGTTTGTCGTCGGTATTTGCTATTCTTTTACCCTGTTTCCACTTTATTCCAGTGTTCAGTTGGCCTTCTTGGACTCTGACGGACGAGTGCTTCTCATGTCTGCTTCCAGTGATTTGACGCCTGTTGACGAAAAACAGTGTATACGAACCAGCGCACTTATCTGAGCAACTGGTCTGTCCTCCTTTGCACACACTGTTTGCCAAATACAGTCGATTGAAGCATATTTCGGCTGTGTTTCAACGAGCGACCCCCTCCAAACATATTTAAAGGACTCATTTATCCAAGGTCATTTTTCGGTACCATAGGACGTGCGTTACTAGGGCACAATTAACCAGTAATAGATGAAATCGAGCCACAACTGTCTCGGCCCAGAGGTCGTGTCTGAGTACTATTTCAAACTGTGGTTGGAATTGTGACTAAAGCAGACCAGAATGAAATATTGGAAGAATTGAAAAACGTCATAAACGAGAGATTCCGTTGAGTTCTCCGGTGAAAACCGAATCGGCATGCAAATGAGTGTATTTCGGTAAGAATTTATAAAATTCACCCGGGTCGGGGTTCAAAATTGAGACGAACTGTTGTAATGCCCGTCTTTTTGCGGTTTGTTCTACTGACTGAGTGCTGATTTATTGAGGTGCTTCGAATACCAACCTACTACGTTTTTATCCGGCTATGTATTGGACGGAAGCGAGCGAAAGAAGGCAGTGGGCTTGGCAATGGAAGTCAGTACAAATGACTACGGTCGCGTTGGTAGATGCTCTGAGACGGGGCAAATCAACAATCAGAAAGAGTGACAGGTATGATGTAGTCACGCATCCAAAAACGTTCATTCGTCTGAGCTGCCTTCAATCCTTTGATAACCCCGTTCACAGCAAAGCATACATGTAACTGCTGTGTGACCCGCAACTGACTCGTGCTCCAATTAAATGTCCAGCAGTAAGACTCTTTCGGTGCCTAGCTCCCATGTCACCCGAAAGAACCACAAGGGCTGAGATACTGTCTGGTTTCCCAAGCCCAGACAAGCAGAGGCAATGCTGCCGTTGGTTCCGTCAGCAAGTTCGCGCCTTAACCTCTGAGCTATCCTCGTGTCCCCAAGGATACCAGCTAACACCCTCCGTGGTTCTTCTCATGAGTTTTCAAAGCCATTAGTGAACCAAACAAACATCTAGAACCATAAGCATGGTTCGAGGCCAACCAAAACGTTGGCCTAGGATGCGCAAACACCTATTCTGGCGACATCACGGTTGCAGTACGATTTGAAGGTCGCCCAATGGACCTGAGCACGATAACCCTGCACTTAACGACCACCCCATTATAAACACGGTTTCTCTTTCTGTATTAAAAACTCGGGGACTACGCCTACCCGATGAGTTGAAAGAAAGGGATGTCGCGGAGTTTCCAACAACCTTATCGGCAGTATCTTCCGTTGGGAAAATATACTACGACACTTGGTAATTGATCAGGTGGCTGTTGATCTGTTCGCCGAGCTTGGCAATTGATTTGTAAACGTTTCGTCACCATTCGAGGAGGCGCCTTCAGTGCGCTGTTAGTTGGGATATCGTACCAAGTGAAACGTGTGGGACACATTCAGCCAGGTCTCGTTAAGGCCAAATTAGTTTGATTGTTTTACTCATCTTATTCGAATTTAGTTAGATGGTTTTTCATGACATAGATGTCAGGAAATGAGAGAAATCCGTCCCTGTCACAGGCATGCTACAGCATTATATGGATAATTCCGCCAGATGAATTGAAAAGACCCACGAAAATTTCCAGTACAATCAAGATTACATTAGCCCGGTGCATCGGATGTGCGACAGGGTTTTCATCATATACCCCTCTCACGAGGAAACAACCTCTTTGAAGAGACAGCTCGTTATCTATCGAGTGTAGTTTTTCGTGGTAGAAGAAATGGGAAGGTGAGTTAGCTAGGTTCCAACTTGTTTACGCTTCCAAACAATGAGTAGCATATCTAACGGAGGAAGATATGCGGACCCCGTCCTGGAAGGTGACCACCCATGGAACACCAGATTATCCGAGTCTAGTTGTTTGCACTGCTCCAAACGTGGTTCATGAAACAGCGAGTTACGATAGTTCGGTACATCGCAAATGTCCATGACACCACAGTTTATGTATCTGGATACCGTCTTCAGTGGAGGCAATTAGCATACAACGGGAAGCCCCTCGTCCGATTCCTGTTGACCAGCCGTTTTCAAAATACCGGTTGTCAGACAACAGAGTCGAGAATTCGAGCTTTGTGTGCCCGCTTTAACGGGTACTGCCAACTAAACCGAAAAATGGGTCAACACGCGCCATACTACCCATGAATTGTAAGAGGGTGTCCGCAGGAGGTGCATACCACTGAGTGTTCTGTACTCTGTTGGCACAAAACAAAGAATATTTAATAAGGCCATGGGAGAGCTTAGGTTTCCTTCTTCACAATTCTAGCAACGACTGATTATCAGGGTCCTGGTGAGCTCCTCCCCTCCGCCTCTGTGGTATCAGTGGCGAAGTAAAACTAGAATTGAGTATGGGCACATCGGTCCTTAGCACACGAGATCCTTGCAACCCTATAATACGACCCGCGCTGCTACCTGGTATACGGAGGCACTGTAACTCAGTTTTTGAACCCAAAAGAGGTGCGAACAGCTAGTCCAACCAGTGAGAATACGTAAGATGTTCCACAAATATCTGCGTCTCTTCCCGTATCTTGAGAAGATGCGCGAGGCTGTGAACGCAAGGCTTAAGCATAGAGTAACGGTGGCCAGTTGGTAGATGGAAACAACCTAGCCTGTCGACAAGATCCCTACCAGCGACGAGTACAACCTCGGGGTTTTGGAGATCGTCCGGCACTCAACCGATGATAAATCGGTGCAGGGTTGTAGAGGGGCACCTATCAAAAATTTAGATTTTCGAGGGAGTCTTCGGTGACGCACGGGGTCAGACTTCCCTGGAGTTTGGGCCGCTCGTGTATAACGGACTGTTCCAGCACCTGACAATTGAAAAATGTAGTCGACGCTACCTTTATCCGACCGTATTGTCAAGAAATACACCTATCATGCTGTGAAAATAACTGCCCTATGACAGGGATTTTGATACACTTTTTGAGAAATCAGGGTGGGATGCTTCCCGTCAGTAGGTTGTTAGCCATCAACCAGCATCTTAACTTAACCGGGAACATGCGATTTGAAGTTTTGTCTGACCCAGCAAGCCCCAACTCCTAAGAAGGAACACCCAGTCATTATTTGATATTGGTTCTCGACTCCCTACAAAAATCAGGGGTGAAATTTTGGCAGGCCACAAGTTTAGTACCCCGACCTGTTTTTCACGAGGAGTAAGGTATTTACGCACCGGGAAGTCACCACGTTTGAAATTTCCGATCTTTCACTAAAGAATACTACGGTAACAGTTCTCCAAAACTTTTGAGAAAGAACAAGTTGATCGTCTTGAGATACGTATTATATTACAAGTGGCAAAATGTGGGTGTTTCCGAATGAACAGCGAATCCACTCAGTGGCTTTCTGTGCTGCAGTGACTGATCCCCCTGAACAACCAAGCTCTGGCCAGAGTGAACGGAAAAAACATATGTGGAAAGGCTCGTCTTACTGGGAAGGATAAATAATGACCAACTTGAAAGTGGAAGCCGAAACATCCTTGAGCCATGCGATGTGCTGAGAATGTGGACTCGCATTTAAGTCATCGTTTTGGGGGGAGCAAAAGGGTTGATGCACGCTTTCTGATTCTGGTTTTTGTACGGTCCTTTTCCCGGGAACTCAGGGACGGTTGGTCAGTCGATTGCGAACCCGGCTCGCCATTCAAAGTGGGTCGGGAGTTCGCAATTACAACCGGGAATGAAGGTGTGGGCAACATTACACTAAGCCCATTGATATTGGTGTGGAGGGGGACCGAGAGGGGAGCACAGATTATGGAATTCAAGTTCTGCACGGCGATTAAGGAGTTTGAAAGGGTTTGTGGAAGAAGAACAAGTTGACTGAGTCCAGCGTTGGCTGAGTTGAGCACGGAACTGAGAAAATTTATCTGAGGTTGACACTGTAAGGCGTTTTGGTTGCAGTTACTGGAACAGTTCATAGAAGATTCCTCGGCGGGAGTTGCGACTGAGACAGAAATATTCGAGGTTGGAGTTTGAGGGACGGGTAGAACGTTGTTCAAACCTACTCCTGAATCTGTCTCTGGTGCTTCCACTGAGTCTCTCACAGAAGCGTCTCCTCCTGACTGTTCAATACACGGACTGACGTCATCCGTAGATGCAGGAATAGGGGTTGGAATATGGGATATGTTTTCTTGAGTGCCGGACAAGTCTTGCTGCATGTTCTCCCCGACTTCTGTGCCGGTGGTCCCGATTACCATCTCAGGAAGCATGTGTTCCGTAGGATCTACACCAACTGGACTAAGTTCTGATTCCTTAGCATCGGAATCCGAACTAAGACATGCTTTGATTAATTCCTTTCCACAATCGAGATCGATGATACCACGCAGCCGTTTCGTCGCGTAAGCGTAGACGTGATTGGTTTCGGACGCAATTAGGAGAAGTACCTCTGCACCAGTGAGTTCTGCCAGTTCTACTGCCTTCTTCATCATTCCAGTCTTGCGTTTTGAAAAAGTGGAATGACGCCTAGCTCTTTCCCGAATAAACTTAATTGGGATTTTCTGCTTTCCCTTCGTCAATTTCTCGTGATGTACGGCGCCATTCGGTATCCGGACATTATTGGAATCACCATACTCCTCAAAGACGGCGGGTTCGATTCTTTTTGTGGATGCAGAATTATTAAACCCGGAAGGGAATACCTCATCTTCCATGTAGTCATCGACTTGGTCATCGCTTTCCAACCTGATGCCCAAGGACTTTCTGACAAGCTGGAAGTCCCGACGCGGAGCCAAACAAGGTCTCAAGACTGGACATGATCGCTTCATTTTCAACAGCCTGAAGAAAAAAGTGAATAATTTTATATAAAACAGCACCAGACAGCGAACCGCGAGATCAGAATAACAACGATAGACTGCAAACACGAAATACGAGTAGTATCAGCATGTAGTCTCGTTTTACGTCCTTTATTGATGAAACATTTGTAAGCAAGACGGAGCTCGCCGGTCAATTTGAAGGCAACCACGCTGAGATTCGAACCCCAGTCAGCAAAAACTAGGTCTCCGATGTTAACCACCGGGTCGCTAAGGCCCGGAATGTGAATAAAGCGATGCATCCCTGATATCTTCATTATGGAAGATAACATGCCTCGCAAGAGCGATGTTTCATGAAAACAGGTCCTCATCAATTTGTGGTTTAATAAACTGCTGGTAAAAACGGGTGAGTAGGCATTACCGGGATATCGTAATTCAAAGACGGTCTAAACCGCCAAAATTAGGTTTATCAAATCTTGTTCGTCTGGTCATAATCACCTGGCACTACGATCACCCACTGAACTGCACAACCTACATCAGTCTACAATCCTCACTACACCCTCCGTAAAAGCTGTCGAGAGACATCACCATCGACAGCATGACATCAGCGTTCAACACCGATGCTTCACTGCCGTATTGTTAGACGTAGGAATCATGGTTCTACGTAGGCTGAGATACTGTCAGGACGCCCACACCTGGACAGGACGACTAGGGTCGTCAACCAGAGCTTCTGGTTCAAAAGTCGAACTGGAAGACAGCGGTGTTTGGCGGGAAATGCCAATGCATTACCATTTCTGCGGAACACGTTATCACACATGTTCCACCCGCAAACCTGGAGGACCAGAAGACTGCTTGTCAGACCTCTAACCATTGACCAACCCCGTATGAGAGAATGTGTGTCGCGGAGACACCCCAGTATAGCTCAATGGGTCGCTAAGGTGCGCAAACTATCACACCACGTTATGGTTCAGTATCATCATGAAATTATCAAGAGACAAGCCAAGTGGGTCGTACTGTAGAGGTAGTAGTACCATAGACGAATGATCATTCATCTATGTGCTACTCGAGTAGCACATCTGCACAGCCACACGACTAGACAACTTCTTACTACAACGCAGAACAAAATTCATCACCTGACTGTCTCTTGAGCACCCCAACGCGTGTTCTCAACCAGTTAGGATTTCATCAAACTAGAGAGACAAGGAGACAAGGAGAAAACAGTCCCTCATAAAACCCAATAGAGACAAGGAGAAAACAGTCCCTCATAAAAAAGAGGAAGTATGGAGGCGAAAAGTGAGAAGAGACAATTGATCGCACGTATAAAACTTCCTCTGCAGTTCAGACGTAGATGCTCGGCATCGCCATAAGTGGTGCACCACTATTCGCCTTCCAGAAGATACTCATGTACTTGGAATTTGTTCTTACACTCATCCTAAAAGCTATACACATCTGGAAACTTCTCTCCTGGGCCTTTGAAATCCACCAGCGTTCTCCGTCATTCTTTAAGCTCCTAATTATCCAGCGTTTGGGGGATCTGGGTGCGCCATCATAGTCGCTAGTTACTGATATATACTTTCTGGCAGCAATAAGGTTTGCTGATCTCGAAGATATCCAGCTTTCATTGAGTCGAGTCAGATGGGTTGGACAAACAGTTTTGAAAGCTGACAGCATTGATTCTTTAACTCACCTCCACTCATCCTCCAAGTTATCTTCGTCGTCTACACGACTGTGCGTTTTACGTAGCTTTCTAGCCAGATCAGCTCGATACTCTTCAGATACTGAAACATATCGAAGTTGATGAACGGGTGTGCTCTCTTTCGGCACGCCTAGTGCCGGCGAAAAGTGAAGTGCTAAGCGGGCCCGCAAGTTGGCGTGATCTGAGTGAAGTTGCGTACCCCAGAAGGAATGACAATCCTTAACTTAGGCTCTCCATCGGTAACTGATAGCCATATGGTCCAAATGAGTCCACGGTTGTCTTGTGGTAGGTGGTCTCAAACTAACTCAATGTGTGCGTTTGTGTTGGAAGTTCGTACTGGCCAGGAACAAACGATGATCTGCACGCAACTGAAGAAGCCGCTCCCCATTATCCGTACGCTCAGCATCGACTCCAAGGCGACCACCTAACTGCGCTTCTTCCGGACTTATTCGTCCAAATTGGGCATTCATATTACCCCGCAGGATTACTGTATGTGTCCTCCTTGCCCGACGAAGCACATATCTTGATAAAACTTGTCCTTCTCAGCCTCAGAACTGCCATCTATTGGGGCGTATGCTGACATGACAAACACCATTTATCGCCTCCATCTGCGTTAATCTTAACTGAATTAGATAACCGCACAACGCAAAGGCGACTGTTTACTGGGATCCAATCCAGTAACGCACTTTCAGCCTTGAAGCCGAGTGCAACGCCCACACCGTAGAACCACGAGCCATTGCGTCAGGATCAACGGATGTCCGAGGAGTGAAATGTGGAACATCTGGGCTCGTCCTAAGCGGCTTGAGGAGCACGACCGAATTGGAGTCTTGTATGCGTGTTTCGGAGGCACAACATACACCGACAGGGAGAAAGTAGGGTCTCACCAAGGGATATCTGTTGTCCAATTTGGTATAAAGTACGGACACTGTGCGTGTTTCGAGGCACAACATACACCGACAGGGAGAAAGTAGGGTCTCACCAAGGGATATCTGTTGTCCAATTTGGTATAAAGTACGGACACTGGATGCTGCAACGTGGGTCAGATCTTTTGAGGTTAGTAGGCGATTGTTTTGGTTTATTTTTCTGGGCGGTGGTTGAGCTACGGAACAGTGGTTAAGGATGGCAGATGGGTCGATTGTACTGCATTGTACGATGGGTTGGGGGATGATGGGAAGGCCGGGGGACAAAAAGCTCCAAGGGCAAATGATATTTCCCGGTTGACCAGGCCGAAGGAGTTTAGTTGAGGTACCCGACCTTGAGCCTTTGACTCAAATGTTCGCCCAAGGGGCCGTGGGAGAATGTAGGTGTAGATCAGGGGGCCCTGTCCCTAGCTGCTGAGTCAAACGTCCGGACCGCGAGATGGGGATTGTTGGAGTTTTCTTGAGGGACCCTACTCGGAGCCGATGACTCAATAGTATGGCCTGCTCGGCTGCACGGGTTGATCTAAGCCGAGGTCGCATTACTGTCCCACTTCTGAAGCGGCTGCGCACAGCAGGTACCTTTCGAGCAGCACCGGACTCTGGCCGGCGATTACGGCCAACCGTTGGACGATCGGAGTGTGCGGGTTCGGGAACGACCTTTTCTAACCCGTCCTTTCTCGGGTGGAGGCAGCATCGCTGCTCCCCTTTGGCCTTCCCGGTATGGTTACACCTTGTGGAACGAAGTTTCAGCCCATGTGGCCCACGGGAGCATTGCAGCGTTTAAGCCCGACCATCACGTCAAGGTGACAGCTTTAGGTCAGGATACGATTCTATGGACTCGACTAACAAACGCTAACCAACTTACTGACTGCTTCTGATAAAGCGAATCGACAGCTAACCACCTCTGATAAACCGTTCTGTTTACGTATAACAGATGGCTATTTAGAGCTGACTTTACGTACTGCGTCTCACAAACCTTTCACGGGACGTATGCAGTAACCAGGCGGATGCACTTCTGATTTCGCCCCTGGGCCATGCAGCCAGGAATAAAAATAATCTATCCTTCTAATGCCCGTGGGGTCGAAGTGCTCCCTGGGCCTCCGCTCACAGACATCGAGTACGCAGACGACATAGCTCTTCTTGGATCTGACCCCATGGCAATGCAAACAATACTAAATAATCTAAATGATTCTGCCCCGCGGTTTGGTATGCGCTTCACACGTGCAAAGTGTAAAGTGCTACTGCAAGACTGGGTGGGCTCGAACCCTAGCCTCATGCTTGCGGATGAACCGATTGAAGTAGTAGACAGACAGCTGTATCAGTCCCGGTGGTCTCGCGAAAGATGAAATTTCCATGCGGATTGGGAAGGCCAGAGCAGCTTTTGCGAACCTACGTCACCTGTGGCGTAGGCGTGACATCAGCTTCTCTGTCAAGGGTCGAGTTTACAATGCTGCGGTGCGCTCCATATTACTATATGGATCAGAAACCTGGCCGCTGCGCGCCGAGGACGTCAAAAGACTTTCAGTGTTTGGCCATCGATGTCTTCGGAGCATTGCCCGAATCTGGTGGGAACACCGGGTCAGCAATGCTGAAGTACGTCGAATGGTATTCGGGAGAAATAACTCACCCTCGATAGATGAACTGCTCACACTGCACAGGTTGCGCTGGTTTCGCCACGTGTCGCGTATACCAGTCGACCGACTTTCTCGAAGCGCTCATTTCGCCCAACGGGGTGAAGAGTGGAAGAGAGCCAGAGGCGGCCAAACAATGACTTGGCAGCGAAGTGTGAAAGCCATTAGCAGCAAACTCAGCTGCGCTGGTCACTGCCGTCTTCCTGGATGGGGACCCCGAGACGGGCCACATCAATGGCTAGAGACATTATCAGACATGGCCCAGTCGCGCCCTCAATGGTGCTCGTGCATCCAAGTTATTGCCTTCAATGCATAGCTCCTTTTCCAACCCCCTCCACTTGACAGCCCACTGACAGTGCTAGATTTATGCACCAATTTACCAGCTCGCACGTGCAATGCACAGCTACCTACCCCCTCCCCCCCAAATCATCGATGAACGAAACTGCGGCAGCTGCAACCACTGTACGACGAGTACGCGGTTCTTACAGCTGACAATGGTGATGAAGATCCTTCCGAATTGCCTCGACTTCCCAGAAGGCTCGTAACGTTGGCGTAGATAAATTTATAGGGGATGGTGGTTCATAGCGGACGCCAAGATGACTTGACCGTACGCTGACATCGCCGTTTCTATCCGATAAGCCCGAACACGAACATTCGTGTCCTTCGAATTGAATATTACTGAACTTCGCTGCACCCCGCGGTTCTCATTCACTAGATCCGGACAGAAGTTTCATAGTCTTGCACATGCCTTGAGCATGGAGGAAGCCACTTTGGAAGAGCCCCGACTCATCTTCATTGACCCCGGCCACTTGTTTTTTCCACATAAATATGTTGGGGCTATCAAAGCCCCAACATCGAACTTGGTCATCATCAGATAAAATCCGGCCATGCCAGTATCACATTGATCCCAAGTTGTTTGTCAGTCCGGTCCAGGGGGAGAGACCATCATGATACAGTTTATCTGAATCCCTAAACCCTCCGTCACCGGTGGTTGAACCTCTTAGTTCAATCCAGTCTGACGTCTTTTCGCTGACTCGGGTGCTGTTCGCATTGGCTCCTTCCTTCTGGTCTTTCGGTGGACCAACTCACTTTTTGTCTGGCCTTTGTTTCAACCGTATACTTCATTTGGAACAAAGGTGCGAAATTTTCCCTTGGTAGATCTACACGCCGCGAACTGTGTTCGCCTCTTGGATGTCGCAACCCGACAATCAGGTGCACAGCAATCCATTTTTGTCCACTACGTTTTTTGACCTCGACTCCTCGGGCCACGGCATCACATACATGGAATATATTATCTGTGAGTACGGTAGATGCGTCTTGCTACCCCGATGTGATGACCGGGCTTGAGTGCTGCAACTGCAGCATCATTAATAACCCTGCGACCGGCGAGAACTTCGTCCTAGAAAGTCCGAAAGTGTTAAGAAATACAACATACAACATAGACAGTTTGAGATGGATCGGCGAGCTCCTTCACTACCAATGGCTGCAATACCACGTAATCTGAAGGTAAAGCCGCATGGTCATCTGCAATGGGTCCGCGAAGTTATTAGGTGCTCCCTGCAAGTGGCCAACATTTTCAGGTTCGTGGGGAGAACGGTTTTTCATCTTACCGAGGTAGGTGTAGCGTGGGACGTCAGGAAGTCAGCGGTATTCGCCGTTCGAGAGGACGTCAGTCCAGAGGATGTCCGGTGGTGCAGACAGCGAGACGCCTGAATAAAGTTCACGACGGGCGGCAGGGTCATCTGGATGGGACAGGATATAATACTGGTGATACTGCGGATGTACCAGTGTAAGGAATGCCTACATTCGACCCGACCAGAGCGTGAAATCGTCGCCCAGTTGAAACGTCTCTGGTTCTTCCAGAGGTGGTTGTATGTGAGACAATCAGTTTTGAAATACCGACCGATTCTTTGGCAATTTCGTCGTACGCGCTCCGTTATACTTGACAGGAAGATCGAACGTGAAATTGACTTTATCCAACCTCTGTCGCCAATGTAGCGTGGGACGTCAGGAAGTCAGCGGTATTCGACGTTCGGCAGGATGTAGCGACGGCACACGTCAGCTCTGAAGTGTGCGGACATACGGACTGGTATTAATGAATCCACACGGTATACACAGCGCACATGCGCACAGGTCGGGTGGAACAGGGGAGAAGACCGGAGTGTGGGAACAACGCACGTGTGCTAGATCGAAACGAAACCGGAAGTTGGGAGTACAAAAGCTAAGTCAAGGTCAGTAGGGGGTGTACAAGCGGCTACTCTTTCTTGTCCGGGGCTCGTGGTGGTTCCACCATGGTACCTGCAATAGGGAGAGAGCTGGGGGAGAGGCACAAGCTCATGTGATAGACGCGCATGCAAATACAGTCGAGTTTCAACTGCGTTACACAGGTGCTTTTGGAAAAGCCCGCCCCTCCCCCCAAAAAAAGCATGGTTCATACCTAACCGAGAGCCCCTGGAACTGACCGAACACGAAGCCGACAAATATGCTGTCAGCGGGCTGCCAACCCTACTAAGGCACGTCCTTATTGACCAGAATATGGACCAATAAAAATTGAGCAGATTTAGCTAGGTTTCTCTCTGTAACAAAAGCCCTTCTGTGACCTTGTAGAAACCCCGGTGATTACACTGTAGATTCAGCCTCCCTCTGTCCCCACTGAAGGCTGTCTCAAAATAACTTGTCACCTGATGTATCATAGTGGGCGGATCAGCGAGCCAAGAACCAGAATATGTGCTGCAAGGCAGCGCCTTGATCACCGGACGGTTGACTGTAACCGTCGAATAGTTATCCGATGTGGTCTTATTGAAGCTTAAACTGACCAACAGCCCACTGAAGCTCATAATTTATGGGCTGTTTGAATCTTTTTTACTTTACAGGCTGGGAAGCCTTGTTCTGATGCACAAACAACTCTGATCCAATGCG